TGGCTGGGGAATTCTGGGAGTTGAAGTCCACATGTCTTAAAGTTGCCAAGTTTGAGAAACACTGGGCCAGGTGGAAGGTGCTCTGAAGTTGGACTACAACTCCTATCACCCCCCAAAGCACAGCAGCCTCTGCCTGGACGCCAACCGTATAAAAAAGAAAAATAGCTCCATTGCTCCCCGGCTGGTCAGGAATCTGGGAATTGTAGTCCAACACTTCAGGAAGGGACCAACTTGAGGATAACCGAATTAAAGGGATTAATCTGGAATGAGCAAGTCGTGTGCATTGGACAAAGGGCTGAGCTGAGGATCAAGGAAGTCCTGGATCAATGCTATTCTCAGCCTGGAAGCATAGCCAGCCTCCCTCGCTGGGTTGTTGTTTGGGGATGAATGGAAAGAGGAAATACGATGCTCCTGGTTTTCCTCCTCCTTCTTTGTGGGGGTGTTCCTAAAAGTTGCCCCTAGGGCACGGGTGCGATGCGCATAAAAGACAGAGCTTTGGTTATACCACTGTTGCCGCCATTTTGACTTATTTGACCACCCCCTGGAGACTGAGCAGAAAGGAGAAAATTGGGGTAGAGCCCAGGCATGGGGGAAACCCATTTGGGCAAAACACTGTGCAAGATGAACAGGTTTAGCTTGAGAAAAATGGGAGTTTGGAGGTTGGTGCTGGGGGATTTTAGGTAATTTCTTGAGAGTTTAGCCAAAATAGTCGTCTTTTTGGGGGAGAGGCTGGAAGGAGCAACTGTATGATCGTATAACTTCCCCTAAATGCGTCTTTTGAAGAGGCAGCTGAAACGAAAGCAAAGTGCATAATGCAATTTTTATTATAGCATTTATTATTTGCCGTAACCGGGCAGGTGGTAGATGCGTACAATGACGTGGAATCTGTTTCTGCACCTGGGAATGGCGATTCCTTCCTCCTTTTTTGAACGTGGGTTGATATTAGCACACACACGGCGATATTATCTCGCCTGACAAACAGTTTGCTCCCGGGGAGAAAATCACTCGCTCGTTTTTGCAACCTACTGTTGCCCAACCATTTTTTGCATCATAGTAAACCATTTCTTCCCTGGGTTCAACGCTGGAGACCAATTATATCAGTAGAAAAGGTTGCCAAGAAAAGTGGACAAGGGGTTTTTTCCCCCCCTGCAGAATTAGGCCACTTAGAGGGAAGCTTGCAAAACAGGAACATTCACAATTTCCCCCAAAATCTTGAGGACTAGAAAGTTTGCTCTGTTTAAAGAGGAAGCGTCCAGGAATTTGTGTGCAGCAAGTGTACATTTAGTAATCCTTTCACATGTGAAATTACAATTCTTATCACCATCATCATCTAGATATTTAAAAGTGCACCTCACAAAAAAAGTAGAAAAGAAATAAAAAGAAAAATGAGATTTACAAGCTATTTAAATGGAGTGAAAAAAATCGAAGGACATTAGAGAAGTGCTGCATATAAGAGTAATCAAAAGTGTTATTACAAGCAAGTCAGTATTCAGTAAAGTAGCAAGCATGTAAGAATCATACAGTTAACAAGAGTTTCCATCTGATCTAAAAAGTTCTATCTTTATTTAAACAAGTCAAACGAGCTAATATATTAAAGCATGTTAAGAGAAAGTTTGTATGTGTGGTACAAATCCATATGTAGAATTATAATCCATGGATGGTTTCCAAACTGAATCTTCATCAGACTTATTTTTCAAACATAAAGTGATTTTTGATATTGATGCTTATTCTCCCAGTTTAATATGGCATTCTTCTAAAGAAGGAGTTATATGTGATTTCCAGTAAGAGGCATAGCATATATTGACAGCTGTTATCATATACAGATACAACTCTGAATACTTGCAGGAATATAGTGTTTAGTGAAGTTCAACAGAAAAACAGCTGGCAGGAAAGAAACGTCCACCTTTAAGATTTGCTTTATTCTATAATAAATCATCTTCCACAATTGTTGAGCTTTATAACTGCCATCAAATATGAAAGAATGTTCTGACCTGATTATTGCATTTCCAATAATGTTTAGAAAATGAATGTTGGCAATTAGCACTGGAGTAATGTATCAGTGGTAATATATTTAGTGTGAAATTCACAGTAAATTTAATATTGGTCTTCCATTGATATTCCCATTATTGCATATCTATTGTCCTCTTTTGTTTCTGCATCCATTTTTTTGTACAGCCTTTAACTCGTTTGGTTTCTAAGTTGTTTACACTTCAATAACAGTTTAAAAATAAGCCCCAAGAGATGTTCTGAGTTATCTATTACAACTTTTTCAAATTCAGTCAAGTTTCTAAGTATTCCACCTTGTTTTTGTAACTCCTCTTACATTATGCTGTTTATTTGAAGATAATGAAACCAGCGAGGCGAAGACTCATGTAAATTTCTGTATGCCAAGTATTACAGGATGATTATCCTGCTGTTTACTGAATGCCTGTTTTCATAGCAGAATATACACAATATTCTCTCTCTCTCTCATAGCATATTAGCATTATAAGTGCAGGTAGTCCTCATTTAGTGATTGCCTTGTTTAGCAACCATTCGCAGTTAAACGGTGATGAAAAAGTAATTTTGCAACCAGTCCTCGCATTTACAACCATTGCAGGTCTGTAATTAAAGGAAAGCTGAAGTAAGATCGTAAGCACAGTGGTGGTTTCACTTAGCGACCACTTTGCTTAACGATCAAGTTGCCGGTCCCAGTTGTGGGCGCTAAACAAGGACTACCTGTAATCATTTGTTATTTTTAAAGTCACTACCAGTGGCTTAAAGCTAAATTATTTCCCCCTTTCAATGTAGCTTGTTGTTTCTTTCCAGGAATCTAGAAAATGTCCAGGCCGACCGGCCACCCCTGTTTGTCCATGAGCTGATTTGTCTGCTGTCCACCTGTTCGAAAAAGGTAACCTTGATCTTCTGACCTTCTTCACCAGGGTTGGGGGCAGTGCTTAGCTTTCCTGTGAGGCGACAAGAGACACAAGTTGGTGAAGACAAGGGATGACGTTCATTTTGTAGCTCAGGTCCCCGTGGGAGAAACCGAATCACTTGGAGGAGCCAGGAGAGAGATGGGCTTGCAAGGGGAAAGCTAAGACACGTGCCACCGCCTGCATTTTGCTCCTAGCAGGGGCTTTCATGGAGGGGTGTCAAAAAAACAAGATGTTGGCTTGACTACATGATCGAAGCTTGTAAAAACGGGGTGGAGCTTTGATTGGGCAGTGGTGGCCATGATCTTGACTGTTTGGATACCCCCCACCCCACAGATGCCCCAGTGCAGTGGGGCTGAATATATTATTTACCGGATAGTCCTAGAAAGTTGTATGTTTTCCTCTGGATTGGGGTTTCTCAAAATTGGAAATTTTTAAGCTGGGTGGACTTCAACTCCCAGAATTCCCCAGCCAGCTGGGTAGGGAATTCTGGGAGTTGAAGTCCACCCAGCTTAAAGTTGCTGAGGTTGAGAAACACTGCTCTAAATAGTTATCTGTGAACTGCTTGTGGAAATATGGGTGCTTTTGAACACTCCTTGGTACATTTAACCATTTTCGTAACAGCTAAAAAAAGGGGGGTTCCATTTCTTGTTTCCCCCTCCCCTTGTCCAGCTTCTTTTCCCCAGCCCCCTCTCTGTCCAGTTTCGTCCCCCTCTTTTTCTTTCCTTCCTGTGCCAAAATAGCTCCCCCCTCCTTTTCTTCCCCTCCTCATCCCGTGGCCTCCTTTTTTGATGTTTTTGATGGACAATGAGAAGAGGCTGGTTTGTGGATTTACTTGTATGTTTCTGAGGAATAGTAGGAATGGTTGCTATAGTTTTTTAATAAATAATGTGAATTGTTAATTTTTAATAATTCTATTGATTTATTAGTAAAATGAATTTTATAAATGGGTTGTCTTATTTTACCAAGCAATTTGGATGGATGGATGGATGGATGGATGGATGGATGGATGGATGGATGGATATTGTCACGGCCCTGCCTTTTCTGGAAAGTGGTTCCTGGCACACTGACACATGTGTGAATTTATACAAGTGTGTGTATGTGTGTGTGTATAGGAACGAAAGTTCTCCTGGCCTTGCCCTTTTTCAAATCTGGCTTCTAGCAGGTGCATGCTCACATGCGTGCAAATTGATGAAGTATGAGTCCACATGGGTGTGTGTATCCCACACGCACATTTATTTGGAAGGGGGCAATTTTCAGCATTGGACTGAGCCTTGGCAACTCTGGTTCTCTCGCTGAGAAAGTTGAGAAGAGGCAGTTATTTTGCCTATGTTTATGTCCTTTTTTTAACTTTTGGGCAGGTTTGCCTAAAATGCAGAATTGTCCTCTTTTCACGTGAACATTAATCCACTGTAGCACGTGATTTTTGGCCCTTTAAGATCATTGTTGCCGTACAGAGAGCGTGCCCCAAAGATGTCCCGGAAGCCCCCACGTACCCCCACCCTCCAGACCCCCCTCCCTCCTTCCTTCTTTCTTTCCAAGTCAGACATCCTGGTTGTCTCCCTGCATTTTCCTGCCTTCGGAGCACCCCGATTGAGACCGGGCTATTTTGGGAAGCCATTTGATAGGGAAGGACTTGGGAAACACTTAAGGCAGCTAACTGGGCTTCTCATCTCTCCGACAGCTCAAGAGCTCCCCAGGAGAGCCCTGGCCCGACCGTAGCCAGCTGGAGAATGTCACGCTGTACGCCTTGCACCTTTGCGAATGCCTCTTCGATCCCTACCAGACCTGGAGGAGACAGCTGAGCGGGTCAGTGGGTCTCTGTCGGGGTGGGAAGGTCTCATCTCAGGGAGAAGCTGCAATGTCTAGGCCAGTGTTTCTCAACCTTGGCCGCTTGAAGATGGGTG